CTAGAAAGAGTCCAGAGGAGGGCAACTAGGATGATAAAGGGACTGGAGCACCTCCCCTACGAGGAAAGGCTGAGAGAGTTGGGCTTGTTCAGCCTGAAGAAGAGAAGACTGAGAGGGGACCTTATCAACACATACAAATATTTTAAGGGTGGAAGTCACGAGGATGGAAGCAGTCTGTTTGCAGTTGTGTCCAGCGACAGGACTAGGGGCAATGGGCACAAACTGAAACATAAGAGGTTTCAGTTGAATATGAGGAAAAACTTCTTTACTCTGAGGGTGACAGAGCACTGGAACAGGCTGCCCAGGGAGGTTGTGGAGTCTCCTTCTCTGGAGATATTCAAAGCCCGCCTGGATGAAGTCCTGTGCAGATTGCTCTAGGAGAACCTGCTTTAGCAGGGGGGTTGGACTAGATGATCTCCTGAGGTCCCTTCCAACCCTTACAATTCTGTGATTCTCAAAGACTCTGTTATCATACCATCCCTATATTCACCTGCATCATTATATTAGCATCACAATTACTGACTCTACAAGACTAAAAACTTGTTGCTACTATGTATATAAAACTATGGTTAGGCTGTACAGAGATAACCAAAAATAAAATAAAGAGCTATAGCCCAGTCACTAGAAAAATTGCTTTCACAGCTGAAACAAGTAAAATCAAGACTCCAGGCAGGTCAGGACAGGTTCTGACAAAGTAAGCATGATAAGCATCCATCCTGAGGCCTTGCAAGCTTGGTACAAACTGTGGCCTCTTTCTAGCAATGGCAATACTGTACATTACTGGGACACAGGGCTACAAACACGATAACTATGAATGCATTATGTACGTTGCTGTCTTCTCTAGGCTGAAGTCAGACATGTCCAACAGTTTTGTATGGTCCTGATATTGAAATGGTGAATAGTTCTACAGTCAAGTCTCCTGCCTAAGCACATGCACCCACTTTCTGTGCATGTCATTAGGTAGTGTACCTGAAACCTGAGAGTATGAATGTCAATGACAGGAGTTAAAAAATACTTGTGCAAAACTACTATTTGTTTGTTAAGACAGTGTCTTAGAATTGAAGTAGAATTCAGTAAATACAGAAAATAATTCAGGGAGTTCCTATGGCGCAGGATTATCTAACAGCAGAACCAAAAAGTGGTGGGTTTTTATGGACTGGCTTACTCTGTCCCTGTATATATATACATTCTGACATGTCTTCCATGAGCAATACTGATGGTTTAAAAAAGTACAGCATGGAGCTTGCATCTTTTCAATCCTTGATCCAGTAAGATTAGTTTTGGTGCACAGGCTTGAAAGAAAAGTGGTCCAAAGTTGATTGCAGCGTTGTTCAAATGAAATTTTTGAGTTTATGATAGGTCTTCATTCTCCCACATTAGGAACAGGCTGTATGCCCTTATTCCCCCTACATGCCTTTTTCCTCCTTCAGAAAACTACTCACACAATGGACTCATCTATGCAACCCATTACCCTTTGCTGTCACTACCAATGCATCAGTGACAGCCCAAAGCAGGAACTGTTGTTATCACACAGAGATGACAGCACTGCAGCCCTCTAAATGAAGTTACAGTGGGTTTCGGTTCTTGTAATAATACTAATAGAAAGTACACATTACAAATGTTTAGATATATAATCAAATATAATTTTTACTGATCAGAATCAGGGATCTAAGTGAGTTGGGTTTATCCCACTCAGGAATCCAGATGAGTTGCATTAAATGAAGGTTCTCTTACACTTCAGGGTTTATATATCAATGAAAACCAGTTTGGGAAATTAATGTTAGCTGAAACTACTTGTGGAGCATGCTGTGGAGTTACCACAGTGATGGAAAAGGACGGGCAAAAGACAGGAGAGGGATTTAGTAAACTGACTAACACATGTACATACTCCAGCTGTGTTGAAGTTTAGTTGTTACAATTAAGGGGAGTACGATTGACTCACCAAATGCAAATATAGCTATTTTTATTTAAGTTCTTTCAGCTATTCATATATGACTCCAATATTATTGTGGAATACTTCTGCTCTTCTCAACAGAAGACAAAATGCCATGTGGATCACCTTTCTCTATTCCGAATGTTGTTCTTCATCAGGAAGACCAGACCCAGTTTTCTCATGGTGATGAAGTAATTTATGGATGTAAACAAAGCTTTGGCAATTCTAAGAAAATGAAAATAAAATGTCTTAATGGGGAATGGAAGCCTCTACCTCTTTGTGCCGGTAATCTATTTTCATAATATTTCCATTACATTTCAGTTGTGAGTGTAACATAGTTCTATTCAAAATTTCAAGGACTTCAGCAATCAGTATGTAGCCAGAGATACTATCATTTATTTCATGCATCTCAAAAAAGTTTTTTTTTATTTACTTCTCCTTTAAATGGGAACATATCCTTCCTCCTGGAAAGACTCTGCACCTATAACTTTGTAAGCACTCTGAGTAGGTTTGGGGAAGGAAATGGACAATTGCACACTGGGTAAAATCAAGTATGGGGGTACATCTTTGGTGTACAGTGGCTTTTACCCATTTTCCAGTGTTCCTTCCTGGTCACAGCCCTTCAGAAGCCTTGGGACTACCTGCAATAAAGTAGCATGCCTGTTGCATTAATTACTTGTAGTTTTATGCCTCTGTATACTACTTTGCTTTTTTGAAATCCTATTGGGAATTAATATTAATAGCCACAATGAGCTAGACTTATCCCATCCTCATCATTTTTATGTGGATTAGTCCTTTTCATTTCTGATTAGTAGTTTTCTCTTTTTTTCTCATCTTCACATTGAGTTTTGCAGTGCATAAATTGAAAGAAAGCAATGTCCTTTAAAAAGATATAAAGCAAAGCCTTTTCTTAAGAAAAAGAAAAAAAATCACACTGGAGTCAGTAATTTAAGAAAAAAGCAATACTGGACAAGAAGGAGTCTTGTCTGGGATAAATTACTCCATCTCTTCACTTACCTTAAACAGAATGCAGCTTATGATATTTCTAATTTCTGTTTTCCCCTGTCTTCAGAAGTGATTTTATATTCACCAGTGATTTGAGTATGCTGTACCTTTATTTACAGTTATGTTGAGAACTGGGTCTGGCACAAAACAGAGTCTGCTGAGCTTTCACAAGTAGCTTCTGTTCTGACTCTCAGAATCACCTGTCAAGGAGACAAGACCTGGTTATGACTTAGATAGACTTCCACAAGAGATTGATACCTGATACAGATTAATTGTGGAGTAGTAGTTCCTTTAAGCTCCTGTTTCTTACAAGCAAAAAAGAGGTTTCTCTTCTTGCTCCTCTTGCTACCTTTTTATACTTTTAGGGAAGAAAAGAATGTCTTTATATTATCTACTGCACTCAGCAAAAGGGATCCTTTCAGTGTAAAAATAATTGGTTTGTGAATGGGAACTGTCTCTGCTTTAGATAGCTGGAACAAAAAAAAATCATTCGGTAATCTAGGAATCTTAGGAGTTACTTCAGGCTATGGTAAATGAAAAAACACTTTTGCATGGACATGCATTAGGAAACTGGAGATCTCTTCATAGGTGAATGCATATGTATGTATTATCTGCACTAAATCTGGTTTTTAGCTCTTTTTGTTGGTTTTGTTCAGATCCATCTCCTCGGTGTGTACTTCCAAGGGATGTTAAGCTTGTGCGCAGTGATGGTCTTCCCAAGCGAAAAAAGGACACTGGGTTCCATGGAGTTATACATTATACATGTACATCAGCTGACAAAAGTGTTAAACAGGCAACTTGTGTGTCCGGAACATGGTCACCAGAGATTGAATGTGCATGTATGTTTTTAGATTTGCATACAATTTCTTCTTTTTATGTAGAAATGATAAATGCTCGTTATTGAAGCTTCTTAGCATTGCTGTGTCACTAGTCTAAAATAGAAATGCTTGCATGCTTATATGCGTGCTTACTTGATTATGTGCTAAAGGACAGCCATGAATAATTATGGGAATCATTCAAACAGTTAACTAGGTTTAGAGGCGCACTATTTTAGTGAGGCAGACTTAATAATCTCTACTCTGACAATTGGAATAGTTGTCACTGTCACTTCCAATGTGAGAAAAGATGCAATGATAAATTTAAACTCAGTTCTTCAGAAGGGTTTTACCCTGGCACAAATGAGAGTAGCACATAGCTCAAGCTCTAGCCAAATACCCTCTATTTCCTGTAAACATTCAAAGCTTTTCTATTCCTGATTTTTTTTCCCTTCTATTTTTTCTAATTGCTTCCTAGTGAAACAAGAAAAAAGCTGAGTTGGCCAACTCAAAAGCACAGACCTAGAAGAGACTGCCCCTAACTAATACACACCAAAGTTCAGATGCCTGCAGGACTGCCTTTATGTATAGCAGAGCAGGACATTGCCTGTAGAAGGCATGATTGTAAAACAATCGTCGCCTCATTGCCTGCTTTGGTTATGCCAGATTCATGGGAAATGATGCGTGGAAGCGGGACAAGTACACAGAGTGGCAATCACTCTGAGGGAGCATTCCCTTTCAAAACCAAGTGTCCCTACCTTCCTGGTTTTCTGGAACCACTAGAAGCAACAAACCAAGCTCTTGAGGTCTCCTCCTTCCTAGATCTGCCTCCTTCCCTCCCTTTTTCTTTCCTTGGGCAGGAGCAGCCCTTCGTTCCTTGAATGGCAAAACTGAAGTTTATTTCTTTTTTTCCTTTTCTGATTCTCATTTATGTCTGTGACCAGCTAAGTCTGAAGAAAAAAACAACAAAACAAACCAGAGCAAGAACCCCAGAAGCTGGTCCAGTTTTCCTAGAGTAGTTCCCCACAGAGAGAGGAATGGGGAAAGAACACAAGAGTGTGCAGCTGTGTGTAAGGGAAGCTCCAGCTTAGCTTGGCATAGGCAACTGTGGCTCTTTTCTACGAGTTTGAAAGCATACGAACATCTGAAGGCAGCTCTGGTGTTTCTGAAGCAGAACAAAATGGTCATGACATTAATGAAAGCTTGAGACAGCTACTGAAGAATTATCTAATGCCAGTGTTTTCTTGGTTGTTTGTGTTATAATCTATGATGAACTGTTACACTTTATCTTCTGTTCTATTATAACATGAGTATGTGTCCTTAGCTGAGGAGAGTACGTGCCCACCTCCACCTCAGGTGCCTGATGCTCAACAGCTAACAGTTGGAAGAAATTACAAGAATGGGAGTAAAATAGCTTTTTCATGTCTGAAGAGTTTCCTGCTCATCGGTGTGAATGAAATAACATGTATAGAAGGGAAATGGCAATCACCACCTTATTGTGTGGGTCAGTAGTGGATTTTTTTTCTATTTATTTTATTATGAATTTCCTTGGTGTGCATTTGCAGTCATCATTAGCAGGAGGATGGTATTATACATGTTAAGAATATCATGAACAGATAACTGCAGGAAAGCAATAGAACCTAAGTTGCTAAAGAAAGTGCAGTTAACCAACTGCTGGACGGTAAGTCTTTTTATTTACACAGACTCGTCTAAGATGGCATGAGAAGTTTCAGGTAGTTCCTCAAGAGCTGTGTGCATGTTTGTTAGGTATAGTGCAGAATGGAGTCTCAGTTTTGACTGGGGGCCCTTAACAGTATCCAGGTGCAAAAGCCAGTATTATTTATTATTTAGTTGTAGTAGTAGCAGTCTTTGGGTTTCTGCATTTTTCTTCTTTCTTGATTTTTCTCCTTTCTTGATTTTTCTCCTTTAATTTTTGTGGCTTCTTCTGTAGTAGGGATATAAATGATATGACGTAACTCAGGCCATCTGTTCTAAGAAATGCTGAGGAATCTGTAGTCCAGTTATCAAAATATTGCTGATGCAAGCAGAAGTTCATTAAGAGGTGGAATGAAGCGTTTTCAGAAATGAGTAGGAAGTAAATGAGCACAAGACAAATGAGGTGCCAGCTGGTGACTGAGGTGCACAACATGCCAACCATGACTGTATTTTGAAGCTGCAAAATTCTGATGCCACGTGGTTTCTCTTCTTTTGCATTGCCCGTCAGCCTACATTTCTACTGATAAGTGGCAGACAGAGAAGAATAACCAAAAAAATGTTTGAGCTGTTCATAAAACAACTTTTACTGAAATAAGATTCCCAGTCCCAGTTACTGAACAGGAACTTTGACTGTAATTAGATCTCTTGTATTGTGGAATTCAGTGCAAACATATGCTTTCAGCCTGATGTGTCAACTCATACAGACTAATTTACTAATAACTAAAAAAGCATGTAAACCATAATTTAAGTCCACCCACTCCACAGTAGTGGAGAAGAAAGCATTGGGACAGCCCTGACACAGGAGGGCTTCATAGAGATATCCCTTGTACGTTATCAGGAAGTACATTACAATACTTCATAAGCTATCTTCTCTTTTTCATTTTCATCATGACATCACAAACCCCCTCAGGATATTGGTACAACTTTATTAATGGCGGGAAAAATTAATGGCTAATATTCTAGAAACTCACTGTCAGTATCCCAAAACAAGACAATGTCTCTTCTGTTTCTCTGCCTATGAAGTTCTCCCTGTTCTTGATGCTAAGCTGTAACTGTATCTCCTTGGTATGACCTGAAAAATGGCTTTCATTTGATTCAAAGGAAAAGAGAGAAACCCCATGTAAGAGGGAAAGGAAGAGAAATTTGGGGTTGTGTATCTTAGATATTTCTTCGTCTCCCTTTCAAGCTATTTAATTTATGTTTGCAATATTTTTTTCATTTTTGGACAGCATCTCTCATTGCAATAATAACTGCCTTGCATAATTATTTATCTGTGTTTTCCGTATTTTCTAGAAAGACCATGTTTGCCACCACAACCTGTAGAATGTGCTGATGTTCCCCAGCTGGAAAATCAAAACTTAAAAATTATAAAAGAAGGGAAAACAATGTATTTGGCTGGTGCTAGATTTAAGTATGTTTCTCGTTCTGGATACATGTTAGACGGACTGTCGGAGATAACTTGTTCTATGGGAAACTGGACTTCAGCTCCTACGTGCTTGGGTAATATCAAAAAATACTTCTTTTTGAAGTGCATATAGCAATGAAATTGGAAGAATTTTAAACTGAAAGTTGACTAGTAAGAGCCAGTAAATCCATATTTTGCTGTGGAATCCTATCATCCCTTGTGGATGTCTTCAGAGCAATCCTGATTGGCCACAAGACTGACTTTTCAATGCAGTTTAGTTTTTAAAATATTCCTTTGTATTCTTGCAATCTTTGTCCAGTTCATACTTCTGCCAGGTGAGTCTTGGGCACCAGGTCCTCATAATCCAAGGATCTGTTTCCTCAAGGCCAGGTTGGACGGGGCTCTGAGCAACCTGATCTAGTTAGCGGTGTCCCTGCTCACTGCAAGGGGATTGGACTAGATGACCTCTAAGGGTCCCTTGCAGCCCAAAACATTCTATGATTCTATGATTCTATGATTCCTAGAGCCCACTAGTGACAAGTTGCTTTGGTGCTTCTGTGATGGGAACCACGGGACAGAAGCCTTTATAAAAATTTGCTGGCATGGTTAGAAACCGGATTGAAATGTTTCAGTGACTGAAGTCCACGTCTCTGTAGGGAAA